CTCATGAGCGTGGCCTTTGCCACTGCATCACAAAGCGTTCATGGCTGAAAGATTCAAAAGATAATAACCCTCTAGATGATAATAAAATTGCACTTTAATGATTTATGAGGGTTGCACCCGGAATGCTGATCCCTGGCGGATCCATCACAAACATAGACCGAACCCGCGCCATTTGACGTGTCGGTGCCGTGGGAACATGGCCAGAATGGTTGTATGAGTGGTGACATGCTCACATGTCCAAGGGAGGAGTTATAACACCGGAGCACAGCACTAAACACTGATCATCTTATTGGCAGGTAGTTATCAATACTATCGATAGCTCCAGTTTTTGCTACCCGTACCCTCCCCACCTACCACCGACACTCCTTTCCCGCCACTCTGCGCTCCCACGAAACAATAGGTACTTCAGAGATGCAGTGGCTCGCGCTGGAGTGCCACAAATGTAATCCGGAGGACAACTGAGTGGCTATCAGCGCGATCCTGTGCGTCTATAGTTGCCCATTGTACTTCCACTTTCTCAGACGGGTTCGCCGTCTATGGTTTACGTCACCTTGTTGACTGGCCACCAAGGAGTGTGGCGTAGACCTCGCCCTCTATCTAAAATCAACGTGAGCTTTCCTTGTTTCCCAACGCTTTTCAAGCTTGGACCTATGCGCGGTCAACGTGACATCTGCCCACCTGTAGACTGGCCGTTTAAGGCACTTTACTCCGTTCTTGAAAGCAGGTGCTATAGAATTTGCAGTATCAGCAAAAGCGAGACAGAACCCGAGAGAAAACGACTCAATACTCGCGAAACGCCATCTTTCTAATCTCCTTTGCTTTCCCCATTGGATAAGCCACTAACCAGCAAGCAAGACGAGCTCGTTTTGCATATGTTATTCCTGACAGCAGGTTTGTGATGAGAGCATCGTCCTTCCATTGCTGAGGCATTAGATAGAAAGACTTAAAGATACGGCCGCTTGACATGAAGTTCCCTTCCAAAATGACAAATGATAAAGGGCAGAGTGCTACGATAACAGTACCAGCATTCAACCAATTGTAGCCCGAGTTTCATTAGAGGCAGACCGTCCCAAAAAATATATGGCGTTTGCCAGGGTTGGCACATTCACGATGGCACCTTTTCGCTCTTTGGTCGCGTGGAACGGGAATGGTTTTGGTCTTATTACCACTCACATTTCACATTGGTCGCGCGGTCACATTTGTGGATTTCATGTAATGGATGAACAAAGGCAAATAAATATGAAATAAAGCATGAAGCATTTGCGTTGATCAAGTCCTTTTTGGGATGCGGCACGCATTCTACTTCCATTTGTACATTCGTAGTGGCGTTTGAATGCGTACAATGACTTGCGGGGGCCAGCCGATGTACAAGTCAGTGTTTTTATCCTCCCAGACAAGTCTGGTACCAATTAACCGACCCCGGAGGGATGGAAGGCTTGGTTGGCCCGGGCGAGCCACGACGTGATAT